TAGATACTGCAGACACTACGCCGAGAAATAGAGAAAGATATGAGAGGAATGAACAAACATTGGACAGAACTGGAGAGGGAAGCCTAGGACAGAGTTGGTTGGAGAAAACTGGTGGGCGGCCTATGCTCCATTGGGAGTAACAGGCGTAAGTAAGTAAGTAAGTAAGTAAGGATGATTCATTTGTTGATTCCTGTACTTAATTTTGCTTTTGCTGATGATTTATTCGATATGTTTTTTATGAAGCTTCATAGATTGCCGTTCTTTCGAAAGATAGTCACCAGATATTTTTCTTCGTTTTTACGGTGCTTCATATAAACTGCAGTGTATTTTCTCAGTTGATTTTGTGAGTTCTTGGGTTATTGCTATTGTAATTGAGAATAAGATCTGTTTGGGTTAGCCTCTGATATACTTGAGTTTCAAATTTTTCAGCGTACTTCACAAAAGCTATCGAAAATACGACTGAACCCATAAAAATTATATTTTTATTGTTAATACATTCTTATTGATCTCGACATTTCATATTCAATAATTTATATTTTTCAGTTTCAATGAATCAGCAATCTCTTGTAAGTAATAATATCGTGTCCTTAAAGAAAACAAATCAGTCAGTTCAGTCAGTCACAACACAGAACTTCGTACACCAGTCAGTCAGTCAGATGCAACGTAGAACTTCGTATATGAGTACATAAGTCCAGGTTGCCATACCACATCAGCACACCGACGCAATCATCAGTTCAAATCACATAGTAGTAGAGGTAGTAGAAGTATTAGCAGTAATGGAGAAGATTAGGGAGCGAAGATATTATTCAAGAAGTATATTTCAGTAAGATAAATTTAGAAAGAAAAAGATAGAGATTATGACGAATTCAGAAGGTTAGAATTGAAAAGAACACAAAGAGTGGATGCACCTGCCCGATCGCAAACGATTTTTAGCCATGTCTCTCAAGGTCTCTAAACCATCGGTGACTTTCTTCTCGCGGACCCCAACCCGGTAGTCGACAACTACCGACACGACTCAGTCCACTTGTCAATGAGTTCATGGACTTCTACGATGATTTGGTTTGGCCGTAGCTAGCTTTCTTCGCACCTACTCCTACACCACGAAACATAGCTCATCGATGCAGTCGGTTGTTGGGCATGCGCAATACATGTCCCAACCACCTCAACTGATGAAGTTTCACTACTTCATCTACCTTCCTTTTCAGGTTCCTCAAGAAACACCCTTCCACGGGGTGGGCAGCCGGGAAGAGACATCCGCCCGCATACCCGTAACAGTACCCGTAAACAAAACAACTGATCACCTTAATAATCTGGCCGGTCTGATTTTACAAGCTGTATCATACTAAAAGAATTTTGAAATGTTTATTTCTAAAAGTAACTTATTGATAACATGTTTTATCCAGTTAGCTTTATTTGATGTTTTCTGCTGAATAATTAATTATCAATAATAATTGTATTATTCTACAAATTGCATTTTCTTTTCTTAATTTTCTCTTTATGGATTGTATTTCATAGTGTATATTTTAATTTGTGAAGAAAATACAGTCAAACTAATCAGTAGATAGTATAGTGAACAAATTCAATATTTATGATTACAACTGGATTTCCATTTCTTTTCTCTTTTGTTTTAATTATAATAATAATGAATAATAATAATAATAATAATAATAATGACTTATTCATTGAGATATAATTCGAATGAATAATTAAATTAAATTGACCAATGAAAACACGCATTCATTTATTTACTAATACATGAATGTGAAAGAACAGGAAAATCACGATAGCTAAATAGTTGCCTCTTTTACATACATGATTCATTGAATTTCATTGTACCCTCCCTGTAGGAAATTAGTTAACCGTTACTAGATTAGAATAGAGAAGGAAGGTATAAATAATTAAGAGTTCTGCATATTTAATTAATTTGTAAATAAGCATCGAATAAACAAAAGTTGAACGTCCAATTCATATGCGCAGCATATTATTCAGTCTGTACATACATTTACTGTGTATACAATTGAAACTTAGTTAACTTAAAAACCTTTCATTCAGAAGACATTTAAGTCATTAATTTTTCAGCCTTGTTCATTAAGACATCGGAAAATTTTTCACTCAAAGGAATACATCTGACACAATTATTACAGAAAGAAATTGATCTCAATTATAAAAAAAATATTGGAAACCAGGAAACAGTGCATAGCTGTCGCGTTATAATATTGTATTCTTCATCAGTGTGCACCCATAGTCCTACTGTACATCGAATTCACGGTCTCATGAGATTGACCTCAGATTTTGTTGATACCAAGAGGTTATACTGCCGAAAACTCCTCTCACTAATATAATATACAGCTATGCAGTATCACTTCGTTTTCACTGGTTGTCTAGGTTAAGTCAATTTATAAATTAAACTATCTTCACATTGAACAATATTCTGAAATTTCTCATCTTGAAAATTAACAGTGCTTCGTCGATAATCAATTAAGACAGGAATTTCCATAGATCTAGCAAAAATTCGTGGCTAGTATAGTTTGGTCATGTCTAAAGTGAGACAGCTATCTATATGGTAGTAGCTGACGGTAGTCCAATATTGTATATCACAACATGAGTTCATCAATACAACAGTAATGTAACAATATATGAAATTTAATTTTGAATTGAATGTCATGAATAATTGAGATTGTTAGGTTCGTCACTAAGTAGACTTGAAACTATTACGGGTTCACCTTAGTCGATAAACTAGAACGAGACAATAAACCATCATCCAGGTAGGCCACCTTGATCCGACACGGCTAAAGAGAAGTCTTGATATAGCGTAGGAAGTACGTTCTACAAACACCCAGCAAGCACAATGCAATCAAGCACACAAATCGTGTTTATTTATACATCATAGAAACGTCCTTTAGACAGTCACAAAAATAGCACACTAAAATGCACAGCAGCCAATCACAGTCAAGTTCAATGTCAACTGATCAACCCATGCTGGCAAACGTGCAATCCAAAATAAGGCATTTATCAATCGAGTTCTAGGTTTTCTAACGTCCCCACCGGAGATATATTCAATTCAAAGAGTAGTTTCTAATTGAATTTCCACTAATCCGATAAAAATTTTAAAACATTTTAAAAAAATGAAAATTATTATTATTAATCATGTTTCAATGAGGTGTATTTTAATCATTACGATTAATTAGTTGAATGACTTCGAACATTTTTCACTAGTCTAATTTACCTCTAAAAAGAGAGAATCCCTAAACAATTAATTAAAATAGATGTAATAAATTCTGTAATCTACTTTTTTTTTTATAAATAGAACTACTAACACTAATTGATTGGTCATTTATGAAAAATGTACGAACTTGGCATAAATATTCATTGACTAAAGTTATCAAATCACATCACACATTGAAATGAAATTATCAAGATGGATGCCAAAGCAATAAAACTATTCGTATTATTAGTGATATAAACGAATCAATAACTCATTAAAGAATGTATTCATCAAATTGGTTCCTTTCAAAAATTTAAACACACTAAGAACAACAATATTTATGGAATATAATGAAATTCATTATATTTCATCGCTTTCATTTTAGCTACACGTACAAAGTGAATATGTAAAATTCTCTCTAAATTAATAACAATGATAAAAATGAACTGTAGATCAATAATGAATAGCTCATGTATTGGATGTTAGAAGTTAGCAATGAATGTTGCGAAACATGAATGCTTAAAGAACAAGTTTTAAACTGTCAATTTAATGAATTAATAAAACGTAAATTCTTTTTTAACGTTTGCAAAGGAATAGTAACTGTGTGAGGTCACTTTTAATAAATCATACTTACACCTAGTTGAAGGAAGAAGGTCAAACTTCTTGCTATCAAGGCAATGAAAGTTCAACTACTGACTGTTTTTAAATTTTAGAGATCAGGTTTAATCCTTCCGATTGTTATAGCTTCTATGGAGTTTTATGACATGGGATTAGACTATGTATTGTTGATTGTAAATAACTTCATTAAAAACGCTTTTTTTCAATGAAGATTTGGAATTTTTTGAATATGATCATTAAAGAGAACAGAAGCCGGTCTTTCTATCACTCCTACGTATATCTTTTTGTATGCTCTTGTAAAATGGTATGTATGTGTATATATATTTGGAGGCGATATATATATATATATATATATATATATATATATATATATATATATATATATATATATATATATAATATAAATTAATCTGCCTTTGTTTCTATTATTGAGTATAGTGTTGTATGTAGAGTAATCAACTTCACAAAGAAGAATGTACTTTTAAAGCTGCTTTCAGTCGTTGTATAATTGTATTCACTATCTGATCATGTCTGAATGATCATCACATAAAAACATTCTTGTTTTAGTTCTGTATTTTTTAGTCGTATTTTAGTATTCAGTGATAGTATTTATTTACAGCTAATTGAAGCTATTCATTTTCAATTAATTACTTATTACAATATACTCCTACTTGAAATTTTATGCTCAATGAATGTTTCCAGTTCAGTGGCAAAGTGTTTTTACATATCTATATTTGTAGTCAATGCAATAAAAAGCTGTGAAAATCTACATATTCCTCATTCCAAGTCAGTTTTTGATGTTGTACATACATCTGACAAATTCTATCATTTTGTCTGGAAATGCATAAATCAAGGAAAATGAATCACGTCTTTTATTTTATGTTTCATTGCCAATCTAATGTTTGAATAGACTTTATTGAAAAATCCAATCATTTCACTTGCACGATCTGTGTCGTTACCACTAGCAATAGTATCATGAACGTCACGTACCTTACATAAATTGCAATCACGTTGGTGACAACTATTGATTTGTGTCTGTTTAACTTTTCCACAAATATATCAGCAAATACAGGTCCTAAAGAACTGCTCATAGTCATACAATTCATTTGACAGCATAATTTATTGTTAAACTGGAACTCAACTTTCTTAGTTTACAGTTCTAGTGATTGTTCGAACTGCAATTTTGGCATGGAAATAAGTTGTCAACATCTGCCTATGATGTCAGTTATTTCCGCAAAAAGAGTTTTGTTATACGAAATTACAAGTTAATTTGCTAGATTTATTTGCTAAGTTCATTTACAGAATATGATTTAAAAAGAAAGAATGAATTAGAGGAATAGTGAGTAGGCGATAATTTTAAAACTCGAAATCTACGCGGAAGTAATGCGTGAACATACTTGAGACAATGTGATGGGTTATGAGTCTTAATATTCAACTTCTCCAGCCATTGAACTACATAATTCGATGGTTATAATCAGGTAGTCTACAAATATTAAAATAACTCAATCCAATAGTAATTGACTTCATTAAGTGATACTACTTCTTGGTTTGACCGACCCTAGTTTGAATGAATGATGTTAGTTTATTGATTTTATGACGTCGTTTGATTTGGCATATTTAAGAATCGGTATATGCTATTATGAATTACAAGAATAAGGCATCTATCTGTATAGAAATGTAATGCTTCTGTTAGTTTCCAGTTATATTACTCAGATAAGATTTTAGTTATTTGAAAATAGTTCTAATTACGAATCAGTAGTATTTGGAGCACTATTATAGAAAACTAGAAATAAATGGACAGTTGTTTTGTTACAGTTTGGAACTAATTATTCATGCACCACTTTATCTCCATGCACGATGAAGTTATGAAGTTTCAAATTCTTATCAAATGTTGAATCCGATTTAACTCAAATTTTTAATTTCAGTCAATTTGTAATACACTGCAACTGTCATTCAATCGGACAAAATATTGAATATACTTTACATCTCCGACCGATCTCAGTTAAGTTATATCTGACAACCAAGAAGCTCTAGATAGCTGTTTCTTTCAAGATTGTGACTAAGTGATCCAGACTGGAAACAAGTGATATTGTGTCACTGACCTCTGACTCTGTATTTTGGATGGTTAAGCGCCCTCCATTAAAACTGAACGTTACAGGTTCAATGTTCAATGGGGTCTCCAGACTGCGCAGTTGATGAGCCCCATGCTAGAATAAGATATTTCTTTGACGTAAATTATAAAATTTAACAATCTTCACAAATACCCTAGATAATAATACTATTTATTATTATTGTAACATTTTGGAATCAGGATAAGAGATTTCTTATTATTTACGCAGATATTTTACTCCTTTCATCTAGAACACCTATGTCCATTGATTATTCATATCAATAATTTATGCGAAAACATATTTTCAATTTACACTTCTATAAACACCGATTATCTGAACAATAAGTGATAGAGACAGCGATTAGTTTTAAAAAAAGACTCTTTCTCTAACTCTACAGATTTGAATTCCTGTCTAGGCAAACATCAAGATAACTGTGTAATAATTAGATTGGAATAGTTTTAATTTGCAGAATCTACACACCCCTTTTGTTCTGTTATGCAAATGTAATCCATTAATCGATTATTGATTGGCATACTGGACTTTGAAACCCTCTTGATTTGTAAGGGCTAGTGATACACTACTTGGCTGTCTAGAATGAGATTAGGTGACCCATTAATCGAATGTGAAACTTAATGTTTAAAATTTTAAGCATCTAAATCATTTAAACAATAACTTCATTAACAAGTAGGCAATATTCATTTATTTTCAAATGAATTTTTTACTAGAATTAAAGCATATAATTTTTATTCCAGGTGTTAGAAAGAGATACAATTACATGATTGTTAGGAAATGCAATGAAAATAGACAGTTATGCACATGACAGTGTGAAATTTGCCAAATTTATAACATTATATTTCGATTTGTATTCAACTGAATATTGAACTATAAATGCCTAAATTGACTTTTTCAAACAATTGAAAAAATTCTAACCATAATGATAAGATTTAAGGTAGGCAGTAGACAACTGTACTACATTTTCTTGGATGTGTGTACCAGCTTTAAAAAAAATGTACTAGTTATCCATCTAATGATAATCCATAAAAATCATGAATCCAAAGTAATATGTAAAGATTTTTTTTTAAATAACCAAAATACCTGCTGTGAAATAATGTGCACAAAACGATGTGAAAGAATAAATCAAATCAAAAATTTCCATACATTATTATTATGTGTTAGTGAATTTACTAATTCTATTTTAAACTATTGATAATAAAGATATATTTTAAATTTGTTCCTTATGAATATATAAATATATATATATATGGAGTTGGTCATCTCTTTGTATTGTATATACTCTATTTATAGCTTGACAGATATTTGTTATAGACAGCTTACTAGAGGTTGTTTGATATTTGGTATAAGATAATCGAAGATGAATAGCTGTAAGCTTTATTGATTCAGTGTCAAATCATTTACTACGCTTCATATAGTTTTACCTGACCATACTCGAAAATATTTCTAAGCGAATAAAGATAACTGAAAATAAATAAGGTAACTGACTAGCCTTACCAAAAGTAGTTGTTGAATTTTTTGTTGAGTGATACAGCAATTAGTCATGATTTATGATACGAAGCATAATATTATGATAATGTTGTGTCCTCTTATCCGGATAATTCTGTTACAGAGTTTTGGTTATCTTTCATCATAACATCGTCATTATCTAATTCAACTTGAAGTCTAACTCACATGAGAAAACACCACTGTTTCGAATTCTAAATTCTTTTAAACAGTGAATACTGACTAACTTTTAGTACCGCGGTGGTCGTCGTGGATGCGCACTACTGGTGAGTCACATACTGGGATCAAGCGGCTGTCCAGTGCTTCCAGGTTTTCATTGGTGGTCTAACACTGATCGATTGATGATTTAAATGTTACAGATAGATTCGTGTTTATCTATTTAGAATTGGTAGGTTTGTAAAATAAAATTAAATCAGACGTAGGATATTTATTCACTGAAGACATGAAGTGTTTCCTATGACGTATAAAATCCATTTGTACTCAAAAATATTGAATCAATGATCTTTTGATAACATATTGGTTGGCTATGAAAACTAGAAGTCCTACGGTTCAATGCAGAGTAGGGTTGTTAATTGTCACATCTCAGAAACCTTGAATTAAAATTAAAAATAATTCCTGCATTTTAACCACTCTTTTGTTGAACTGGTCATAAAAATCACCATAAAGTTTATCTAATCTAAACATATCACCTCCCTTAACAGTATATGTATATATGTATGCACGTACTTACTTTCAATCCAAAAGGGGAATTTTCCATTGAAACATTATATTGAACATTTTTTATTGGGATCTCTTCTAATTGTCCTAATGGTATAGATGGCTCCCATCGATTTAATTGTGATGGTATAGTAAATCGTAACCGTAGTCTACTTGATGTTTCTTGTCTTAATTCAAATGAAATATTTTTTATTTCATTTTCATAATATATTGGATTTGATTTATACAATTGAGCAATAAAACCACGTTGAGTTTTTTGACTTGAATAAACTTGATAAGTTGGATAGGATTTTGGGAAAAAACACATTGGTAATCCATCGTCATCATCGTCTAATATCGTTTTGGCGGCCCAACAACAACCTCTAGATTCACATTTACTATGGGTTGCATGTTGATCAGGATAACAATCTAAACGTTCAACTCTATTGATTTTCTCACATTGTTTGAAGAGATTTGAAGAAGTTCCAGTGTTTTCGGTGAGTACTAATAATAATGATAATGATAGTAATAGTAACATATGTAGGAGTGTAATTGACATTGGAAAAACTGTTGACTATCAGTTCGATTTCATATGAAATACGTTGTCCATATATATATATATATATATATATATATATATATATATATATATATATATATATATAGGCTGTAATTCCAAAAACAGGCATTCATTCAGTTGACCTTTAAAATATATTGATATTGTTCAACTCATTACAATGCAACATTAGCCTCTTTTTGCTGTTATTGAATATTTTTTGAAATTAATTCAATGATAATTTTTATTTGTTTGAATTTCTCTTCAATTTTTTTAATGAATGTTAACAATGGGATCATCAATAAAATACAAGCATTAAATTAGAAAAAAATATTAATTGAATTATTCGGATTTACTCAATAAAATAAAAGCTTTTGGTATGATAATATCAATACACAATTCATGAACAGTAAAATGAAGTTGTATCACCTGAAAAAATGATCATTGTTTGATGTCATATCAAATAATTTGTTTGTTCATGTTTGTACATAGTCTGAATAGTTAATTTTACAATGAATAGGTGATTAAACAGAATCGAAGGATAACGGTCATGTTAAGTTATTTTAGGAAATGTGGCATGATATCGTCTGATTATAAGAATGATGATACGCCTGTTACCCCTAATGGAGCATAGGCGGACAACCAGAGAATAATTTTTCTCTGGTTAACGTTTTTCTAGGGAGTTGAAATTTTGCCGGACGGAGTCGCTAACCTCATGCCTGATCCTCCTCCTTTATCCAGATTTGGGACCAGCAGTAACCCCAGAAGGGCTCCTGGTAGGGTTACGATATCTTCAGTGTCATTCATTATTCAGACTGTATACTATGTATTTTTTCTTAGAGTTTATTTATCCACATCTAGTTATGATGAATATGGGACCAGTAATTTTGTACAAAATATGATGTGAAGTAATCAGTGTTAGTAAAGAAAAAGAAACAGTTTAGAAGGCTATTTCTATGATAAATTAACATCAACTGAAGAAATATTCGGAAGCATGAAAGGTGACTCGTCATATCAGATCAAAACAAAAATTACCTTTGATTTCTACAAATTTCTGCTCAAAACGAAACTAACTAACTTTGGTTGTTCTATATTAATTAGTAGTAACGGTAGCTTTATCGCAAATTTGTTTAAATATGAAGATTTTTTTCATAAAAGTCAAAACCAATCAAGCTGGAAATGTTGTAGCAGCTCATCAACAGACTTGTGTTTAAATAATTGAAAGATATTTGACGTACCTGCATTATTGAGGAAAATGATGTTTACTTCTGGGAAGGACATGGCCATAGCAATGCAATATAGTACGTGTATCTATGAGAGTAATCAAGACGATTTTCCATGTCACGGAGATCACCAGCTTTCTGTAAATTGTAGGTTGGCCTAATCGATGGTTATTGAATAGCACTAAGTTTGAATCCAGTATATCTGACAACTGCTTACAACTGCTTCACATAAAATCATAATGTACATGATATTCAATCACGTAAACTAGTGAATATATTGCAATTTAATTAACAGAATCTTATGGAAACGACTGACTATACAAATGTTACATTTTTTACTGGTCATTGATCAGTTAGTACTGATAAAATTTATGGAATAAATCGAAATCAATTTATAAGTGTTTAGATTTCGTTTTTTGGAATCATCTAAAGTCCATTATGAAAAAAGGAATTAACAGTAACAGTGATAATAATAATAATAATAATAATAATAATAAATATTTTTCTTTGTCAATAAACTATTTTTATGACAACTGATCATTATGTCATCCAAAAAAACTAGTTAATAGTTCATCTTCAAAATGACAATCATTTCCAACTGAAAAAAACAATCTCACATTTATATTGTTTCGTTCGTTAATCTATATAAAACAAACAAAACAGAAGTGAAAACGTATTTAGGGAAATCTGTTTCTCTTTCGATTGTAACAGGATGATGGATGATTAAATGTTCTTATCTGAGTTGTTCTTATCATAAAGTACTTCAAGTATAGTTAATCATATATTTTCAAACAATTAATTTGTTTTTTCCTGTTACATTTGTGACATTTAATTAGATAATTTGTTTTATTCATTCAAACTGATAATTTTATGACAATAATTTCAAAATTTTCTAAGATTATCACTAGAGTTATGAAGATTGTGGAGTTTCATTAAAATCAAACACTTCTAGACCACCATTAGAAACCTAGAAGCACTGAAGAGCCGTATTATCCTGGTATGTGACTCATCGGTAAGGTGCATCCACGAACCTCGATCACAGGAATCGAATCCACGACATTTGGTCTGGTGCGAGAATGTTTAACTACTGAGCGGCATCCGATTGTACTAATGTCTAACTTTAACTGATCCAAGATATTGCGCAAACTCAACAATCACTGTAACTCTATAATGAAAATCATTACAATGTGCTCACCGGTAAATAGCTTTCTGAGGGTATTCTCAGAGTTCGAATGAGAAGCCGTGATCATTGGAGTTCAACCCCATCGAGTGTAGCCAGTTACTTACCAAAGATAATGGGTGATGTTGCGCAATACCTATGATTGATTAAAGCTAAACATTAGTACCATCGTCTATTGGCTCAGTGGTCAAAAGCTTACGCTTTCGCGCGCAAGACCAAAGGTCCTGCGTTTGATTTTCACTTGCATGGTCATGAATGTGTACCACTGGTGAGTCTCATACTAGGATGAAACAGCCATTCAGTGCTTCCAGGCTTCTGTTGATCGCCTATCTCAATGAATTTACAAAATTAGACGAGAAATCAACAACTTTTCAGTTGTATTTTACTGAAGTGTTTATCAAAATAATCAGGTAGTTACTTTGATAATAGTAATTAAGTTTACTTATAGCTCAGTAACTGAATAATTCGAAATATAAAATTTATAATTTTTCTACCATTACAGATAATGTTAAGATATATGTCTTTGTTTTATGATATATTTGATATACGGTTAACAGTGATATCTAAGATGAGCATTTTGTCCCATTCTGTACTCGTCAGATGGATGTACCTTCCTGTCACTGCTGCAATTTATTTCAAATCGAAACAATTTATCTACTGACTCACTAACTTTTTCAACGATTCTGATGTTTATATCATTGTTAGTAAGCAAATGAATTATCCAACTGTTATTGAATTTTGATCAATTTTAATGAAAATAAACTCACTACAAGCTGAATAGATCAATAGTTAACTGATTGTTTCATTTAGAAAATTTGTACCCTAATCATATGTATCGTTGAAATTAAACTGCATAAAAATTATCTACAGAGTACAGAAAAAGATGAACTGGGTCATCAATAATAAGTCTACATATATATATATGCACGAATGGTTAATGATTTGAAATTTTTATTGAACATCATTCATCTAATTGTCAAATTCTTGTCAAAAAGTATATTAATTAGTATTTGTCATTAATTATTCTGCGTACAATTACTGTCATTGAAAAAAGGTATGACTGATAATGTCTTTCTATATATATATATATATATATATATATATAGGTGTGTGTGTGTCTGTCAATTCTCCTGAGTAAACTAGAGAAAAGAAGAAACAAAATTTCAGCTGTCTTTTTTTTCGTTAAACTATTAAACTTTTTTTAAAATAATTAATTCACTAATTATTATTATTATTCTTATTTTCTTCATTGTGTTTCATCCAACTGTTGTGCAAATGAAACAGTTGAAAAAAAACAACTAGGTCTAAAGTATAAAGGTGGAATTTATTATAAAATTAATTTTATTTTTTAATCATAAAATTTAAGATCAATTTATTCGGTTTTCTCTCTTCAGCATACACACTGAGAAAAATTACAATTGCAATTTGTTGTTTAATTTAACACGTAATTTGCAAGTGTATATTTTTTCATGACTAGATAAAATTCATTAGCGAAAAATAATTTTGTGCAGTAATATGAATTTATTACAGTGTTTAATTGAGTGAGATATCATTGGCAAACAGTTTTATTCAGTTGGTAATGATCAAGTTTCTGCGTTTATATATATATATATATATATATATATATATATATATATATATATAAAAGGAATAGACATGGATTTTGACTAAAAAGATTGATGTTATATTTGCTTACTTTTAATTCAAAATTCTATCCCAACTATATCAATTTATGATCAAAGCTCCAGTTTTTGATTTTATTTTATTTAAAATATTCTAATCACGTTATTCAGGTAAATATGGTGATTGTGTTTACGCTGTTGAAATAAACATAAAATAACTTGTTTAACAAGCTAAAAGTGGTAAGATCTTATTGTTTATTACTAAAAACAGCGAACATAATTGTAACATATGCAGTACATGTGAACTTGTTAATATTTCACTGTTGAAATAGACCAGCATGGAGAACTTCGACGTATTGGACATCTATTTCATTCAACCACAAGACTCCCTAGAAGTATATGTTCACAACGCCACATGCATTAAACAAACCTAGGACTCTTTGTTGTGCACACGAAAGATTCACTGCCAAACTAAGGAACCAGTATCCAACGATGTTAGTGTCAAACATCAATCAATCTACCAACTTGCACTATCCCTCATCCATTTTCTGAGATAACAGATTGAACTATACTGGTCAAGGTTTCACAATAGACCTTCAAGAGCTATATATCCTAGAGATGGTCACTAGTCAACATATGATTGTTGTTAGTATAAGGAATTCATACAGATTGCAGTATTTTTATTGTTCAAATCACAAACTGACCTTGTGAAAATCATTACAATTTGATATTCTCAAGAAATAAATATGAATCTGCTAGGGTATAAACTTAGTGGAAAATATCTTCAAAGAAACTATATCTACTTCGCCAAAATTAATACTTATTTTTAGGGTGAAAAATTGATCATCATCATCATCATCATTTTATTAATCATAGAAATTCTTTATTCTTATCTCTGAATACAAATTCAAGAGTTTTTTGTTTTAGTGCACAAAATTCCTTATTGAATTCGTTTGT